ATTTTTATTTATTTGTTTATTTAAGATTTTTTATTGGGGTACTGGGGGAAGGGAACAGCATTGGGGAGTCGGGGAAGGGGAACAGACAAGTTGCTGTCCTTTTGTTCTTCAGTCTAATTGTGGAGGACGTCGCTTCACTGGCCCATGTTGGTATTATCATTGCGCTCTTTCTGGGTGAGGCAGTCGCTCGCCGGCCATTGGATGGCCGGCCACTCACAGCGGCTCACGTACCAACCAGTATTTTTAAAGTAATGTGAAAAGCAGTAGCCCCTCCTCACTCATACACACTTGTGTTTCCATCAGGCAAATTTACTTTTCTTTTTCTTATTGTTATTCAATTTAACTCTGTTTTATTTTGTCATATTAAAATTCATTTTCAGGAAAGAAAAGATAAGTTTATGAGAGCAAAGAGTAGCTCTCATCTCTAAATACCATAGCTTAATTAGATTTTATTCTTTTCACATTGTTTTATTTATGAATCAACAAAAATCTAAGCTCTCGATAATTCAGTAACATGAGCACATCACATAGATTATTACTGCCAACAAAATACCAAAGAATTAAATAAATCATCCTTCCAGACTTCAAAATGAATAGTTCCAACCTGGTGATCAGTACTTTTCCCTAAATATTAATGAGTAAATCAGTCTTGGAACAGGTTAAGGATCATCAAATGGTGTTTAATTGTCACAGATTCTATTTACATTACTCAAGTTTGTCTTTTATTTTTTTTATGGTGTAGGATTAAAAGAGAAAAAAACTTGAAAAAAAAGACTGAATACTTCATGAAATGTCAAAGTAAAAAATCTCTGATGGCAAATGGTAGGAAACACCTTAACCTAGTCTCTAATTAAGGTGAATTATTAATGGAGTTAAAAATTTTAGAGCCCTAATAAACTTGGTTTTCTTGGCTTTGAAAAAGCCAGAATGCGTAGCAATTCAAATGTTCCCTACAAGTTCCGTTCAGATGATTTTTCCTAAACCTACTTAAGTATAATAGGATTTAGGATGTTCTTAATTTATGACAGTAACTGAATAGTTATTAATACTTGTGATGTTAACTAAGGGACTTATCTCAGAGTAATTTGAAAATAAAGGTGCTTAGAGAACATATTTAAGGCCCATTTTAAGGTGTTATGCTGATTATAAGTGACAATAGTGAACATGAGCATCCAATTGAAAGTTATATACCTGAGTATTCATCAGCAGTTTATAAAATGACCAACGTTCAGGAAATATTGAAGATTTCTAACATTTTTTAAAAAGCAGGAATTGAAAATACTATGTGCAGATGTTCTTCCTCAGTATTGTTTTTGTAGCCTTTACTTCATCTCCATAATATTTTCAAAGTTTTTTTCTGCATTAAGCAAAACCACAAAATATAATAGACTTCTAAGATCACTTGGTTTTCCCTAATTCAGTTTTAATTTTTAGTTATGTTACTGTTTTCAAAGATAGAATTCGTAATACCTGGATTTCACAGAGTTTTTGTTTCTTTGGTTATTATCTCAGAGATAGCTTTCAGGCTCTTGCTTTGAAGGCTTATTGATCATCTAGCCCTAATTTATTCTTTTTTCCCTTTCAAGTAAATCAGCACCAACCATATGGTGTGGGAACTGAAGGAAGGAAAGAGAAAACCATGGAAGCAGTGGAAGAGTAAATAGATGGTGTTTTGTAGGAGTGATTTGCTGTCACAGCTTTCTATTTGCCAGGCTTAGAATTCCCCTGGTGGTGTGTTCTTTTGGTGAAATAGGGTCTTGCAGAACTACAAGCCGTTCCATACTGATAGACCATAAGATGCCTGTGTGGGAGTGGCAGGAGATAGGTCGGTGACAATCCAGAAAATCCAGGGCATCTGTGTCCTCCCGAAAATTTGGGCTTTTATCCTGAATCTGTAGGGAACCTTTGCAGGACCTAGAACAGGGAAATGACAGAAGTACCTTTCAGAAAGGTTAGTCTGACAACATTTTGGAGAGCGAATTGGAGTGGGCTGTGACAGAAGTAAAGAGACCCCTTAGGAGGCATCAGCATAATTAATGTGAGGAATGATGAAATGTGAACTGTAGCACAGTGACAGTGCTATTAAAGAGACAGGGATAGGTTGGAGAGGGACTTAAGAGGTTGAAACTATGGTACATGGTCTCTATTTGGATATGGAGAATGAATGAGAGAGCAGAGACTGGAATGCCTCCCAGTTCCCCTCCTTAGGTGGTTGGATGGAAGGTGAGAAAAGCACTACAGGAAGAGGAACCCATTTGAAGGGAGAATTCTATCTAAAACTTGTACGCGTATGTGAGGGATTTTAAGATAGCCAGGCAGAATGAGAAAAGCAGAAAACATAGAGAGCAAGCCTAGAAAGAAGCCCATTAAAATTATTGAACTGCCAGAGTAGGAGGAGGCATAATGGAATGAAAAGCCAGAAGAGGGATAAATTTCAAAAGATAATACTGAACGCTGCCAAGACTCAAAATGAGGGCAGAAAATTGTACGTTGAATTTGGCAGTAGGAGGCCCTCAGAGTGGTTTCTCTCGAGTGGTGGGGTTGCAGCCAAATTCTATGGGGTAAAAAGTGGATGGAATAAATAAGCACACAGCACAGGTTACTTACAAAATGTGTGGCTGTGATGGGAAGGAGCGAGGCATCGGTTAGAGGAGAGAACATGGACTTGAATGAGGGTTTTGTATTTCGAGCATACAACAGAAATTGACTAGAGAAGAGATTGAAGACATCTGGGGGAAAAATAGTGGGAGGAAAGAGGGGATGATTTATGGAGCGAGACTGCTAAAAATGCAGTAATAAAAGAGCTTAGGGTAATAGGCAGGGGAGACTTGATAGACAGACCCTCTCCCACGGAGACTAGCGCTACCTTATAAAGGTGTGAAAAAACAGAAATACTGAGGCCAGTTTGCATTTAACATCTCAATTTAAATTAAGTACGTATTAGTATTATGAGGGATTGGTTTTGATTTGGAAAATTGTATACAATTTTCTGAAATCCTACATTCACATTAAAACAACACTGAATTTATTTTTTTAATTAAAAGCAAGCTATAACAGTCATAGAAATATGCTGCAAGAGCTTTACATTTAAGGCGATGTTTATCAAAATACCAATTTAATGGAGGCATATGAAGTAATATCGATATTCCTAAAGAAGTGTTAAAAATGCCATTTTGGATTTGACGTAGTTTTCAAGATCAGATAGAATAGGCACATGTTTAATTGGGTAAATATTGAAGTAAAGTTGTATGCGTGGAGGGGAGGAGAAAGCCCCAATTTTATTTTGTTTAATTAGGAAAGAACAAGGTCAATTCTCAAATGTAATTTGAGTAAAGAAATTTTTAAAAATCTTTTTCTTACTGAAAAGAAAGAGAAAGCAACCTTAGACACCTTAGGAATTTTAAAACATTTTAATTGTTTTATTTTGATGTTTGCACACATGAGTGAAAAAAATCGTGAGGATTTCTTTTTTTATATAAAATAAATTCATGTATGTTAAATGACCTTATAAAATAGTATATTTGCCAAATAAGAAATTTTACTTTTTTTTTCTTAGTCTCCTAATGTCAGTATTTTTAGTTGCTCTTAAATTTGCTCTTAGTATCTTGAACAAAAATAGGCATAGTAATTTAATTAACCCATAACTAATTGATTTCCATTCTAAGCCAGGTATTATGAGAAAGCCAATGCGATTTGGATACATCCTCCCTGAAATTATGAGTTATGTCTTCTAGCACTTTGCTCTGATCACAACTGAAAGCTGCCTTACGCAGAGAATATTAGTACCTGTCACATCTAGACTGACCTGTGCCCTGGCAGTGCTGCTGCACTGAGCAACCAGAGCTCTGATGGAGATGAGTGCTGCTCATTGGGACCCTGCCTGATCCAGCTTAGCCCTTTAGGGTTTTTATTCGCCTGGACATGAAAGACTGGGCAGGCAAATGGGCTTTAGAGGCTAGAACTTTGTAGAAGGATTGGGTCAGTGAAGCAGATAAGAATTATGAGTTGAAGCTCATTTGTAAGCACTTGTAAAGTAGTCCTTTAAATGTTTATGGATTATATTAAGTGGAAGAGCTCACATTTCCTCTTTTAAGGCCTAAACCTTCCGTATCTAGGTATTTTTATGTATATAACTTCTAGATGTCTGTATAGAATCATTTTAATAAATGCTCAGAAACCCTAAACAACTTCTAATAAACTATATTTATACAAAACTTGGGCCTTAGAAAAATCTTGCACAATATGAAAAACAGAGCTCTTACTTAAATTATCACTTCAGAAAAAGAATACTCTAAAGTTATCTTTTCAGGAGGAAAAAAAGAAAGAAATGATATTAAATTGAACTCAGGCC